TGTTTGTTAAATCAGTTAAGTATGCCATTCTGATTTAGCTGTCAAAGAATCGAGTAATTCAAATCATTAGCGTGAATTTTCTCTACGAAAAAAGAATCAAGTACTTGCACAATGAATGGATAGGCAACAATAGTATCGATTGTTTATTACTATTTTCATTATAGAATAATTTTTTGTTGTTGAAAGAGTCTAACATATAGTGTTATGTGTTTAATAGCATTCTATATAAAACTTCTTTCGTGTTTAGAAATTTGAATATATTCAAGCATTGTCTTATCGATAATGCTTTCTTTGTTTAATCATGTGGCACTACCGTTTTTAAGATCTAAAATATCGGCACATTTATGTCTGTCACTAATCATAAGATAAAATAACGGTTCAATTGAGAAGAAATAAACAGTTAATATAACTTTTTAATCTTTGTTCACGACTGTTCTTCAGCCATTCGAACGCACAATAGCAGGTCTAGTTTTAAAATATAATACTGAGGTTTTTAGCTCATGTAAAGATCTCAGTCGATTCAATGTATCATAATTCAACAACATCATCGTTTCGAGCAATTTTATCATCTAGTATTTATAAGACGTAAACCAAAAATTAACGTTACTTTTAGTTTTGAGTAGCCATTAAAACACATTTATATGTGATGGTAAAATTTAACTTTTAACATTTCTAAAGTAATGTTCTATTCAGAATTAGACAAAAAATTGAAAGAAGTCCATTGTATTAAAACAATTGTTCATATTTCAGGCAGAAAATCGTGTACACTATGTTTTTAATGAGAGATGTCAGTTTCATATTGAATTTAGCTTAATCGAACTTTCAGATTTTAATGACAATCGAATTTAAAATTAACGACTCGAACTATTAAATAAAAAAACATATTGATGGGTATTTACTTATATGATGTTTTAATGTAGATCAGAACATTAGCTTCTATACAATGATATATAGTAGAAAAGCAAAAGAAAGAATCAGAATCGTTCAAACTACACAATAACTAGACTAACATGTACATTTTTTGCACGCAAATCGTATTCAATATATGTTACGGTAAGAGTAGATTTCATTAAAATTCGCAATAAATCTGAACGCTCTTATTCTCATACCATAGAGTAAAATCGAAATTGATATCCTTCTTCCAGAATATGTGATCTAGGGATACTTTCAAAAAAAATGACTGACATAATTTCATTCAAATAATATTCTTCTACACTGAATTATCTGATTCTTTGATTGAAGTGTGCTATATATGATTTAAAATACTTGTCTTTTGTAAAGAAGATTGTAATTTCTCAGAGACGAGTTAGAAAGAACCACGGTTCGTGCTTTTAAGATGCATGTGCATGCGTCCATGAGTTCAAAAAGTGATCACTCGGGTCTTTATCTTCACAATTGTGAGACGCATTTCTGCTTTAGATGTGTCAAGATGCAACCACTGGTTCGAGCGCATCCAGATGCATCTTTGAAAAGCGAGTGAACGCAGTCGTCACTTCAGACGCGTTCAGTTGCGTCTAGATCCAGGTATTAATTTAAACACATCTAGACGCTTATTGGAAACGCGAGTGAACGCGGTCGCTACTTCGGATGCGTTCAAATGCGTTTTAACCTCATACAAATATGAAGAGCGTTTGTCTTACACAAGTGTCTAGACTAGAGCTCGTCGGGTTCGGGTAGGGTCCGGGTCCAAAAATTTAATTTTTATCGGGTCTGAGTTCGGATCTGAAAATTTTCTATAAAGCGGATACGGGTCGGGTTCGGGTCTAAACCAATTTTTGATGTATATGAGAATATTTTTCGAAGTTTTACTGATGTTCAGTTTTCTCTGAAGAGTTAGTTGCTTTTGGTTGTTAGTATTGAAAATAAATTGTTTGTGTTCAATAGAACCGTTGCTTTGGTCTCAGACACAGACGAGATCAGGTCCAGGTAAGGTTCGGGTTTAAAATTTTTCTATTTACCGGGTCTGGTTCTGAAATTTTTTTACAGACCGGTTACGAGTCCAAGAAAAGTTCAACAAAGCGGATCCGGGTTCAAAAATGTTTTACCCGATGTGCTCTAGTCTAGACGCGGTCATTGATTCGAACGCATCCAGATGCGTTTTGGAAGCGGAAGTGAACGCGTCTAGAAGCATTTAAAACGCACTTAAACGCGTGTGATATGCGCTTGAGCTTCACATGGATTGTTTTTGTTACTTTTGAATGAAGAAAGGAAGATTCGTGTCATCAATATCTTCATCAATTTAAGTTTAACAAATACGAGCGATTCTTTTCATTATTTGTCAACTGTATGCAAACGTATATGGCTCTCTTTCACATGCATACAAGCAAAAAACAGTTATCAATATATGAATGTTTCCTGATGTGTCTTATTGATATACGTTTATAATAAACATAGTTCTAATGACACATGTTTGTATAGGACAGAAGTTTTTCTTGTTGTCATTGTGACATACGTATAAATTGTGTGAGTTTTAAATATGAACAAATCAAATTTCACTATTGTTTCTAAATGAATCGTAGAAAAAAAATGAAAGAAGAGCAGTTAGTATACTACAATAAAACAAAATTTCTTTTTATTATACACATATTTCGAATGAATACAAATCAAAAATCACTAGCAAAATTGTCAGTGATGAAATATTTTTTCTGTACATGGAAAGACTAAAGCCCATAACTGCAAGTGGGCAATTTCTAAATTAGTGCAATACCTATTTGGTACCAGCTTTGGTGTATGTCTAGATGAAATCTGGATGATAACTCATATAAAACTTTAGCTTGTTTGCTATACCAATGTGTAAAGCGTTCATTAACGTGTTTCATTCGTTTTTAAATTGGTGATAGGCACTTCGATCGTTCATTATTCTCAAACTCCAATTATGCAAAAACATCATTACTCCAATAACTATGAGGCACGATGTGTATCACTGAGAGTTAAGAACAATGAGAACAGTTGTTTTACTTCAATCACTGGTTGATGATCAACAATATATTTGGCAAGTAGAAACCGTTGCTTAATTGCTGCCTCAATAAAAAAAAGAAAATTATGTTTATTCTTGCTTCGCTCACATTATCAGTATATCAATCATATGCAGAATGAGAAGAAAAAGCAAACTAACCGCTGTTCTTGTTGTTGTTGTCGTTCTTGTTAGAAAGAGAAAAAAAAGTTTTTTTTTTAAATCAAACAAAAATATACAACGTATGATACAAGGTATCTATTGCAATGAAACTTAAGTCACCATTCACATGAAAAGCAAAGTGAAAGTCACAAAAGATAATCATAAAATAAATGTCGTCGTTTTTTTTTCTGTCATTTATTAGTGATAAATATATCACCGATTGCAACTAGATACAGTTTGAGTTTGAATGTCAACGAAACAAAAACCAAAAAACCCACATTTGACGTCGTAGAAAAATCTAGAAAAAAAACAGCGATCATCAAATGTTTTGATAGGAAAGAGTATATCTTTCCAAGTAACAATCCATTAGTCACAATATACAATTATCAATCGAACAGTAAACATTACATCGAAAATGAATGGACCACGAAGACCATGCAATCCTGAAAATTACTTGGTCATCTGGGTCGATGAAGATATCGACGTGGCAAACGAAGAGTGCAAACATACAATTGGGCTACTGCGTAGTGTCGCAAACCAAGTCAATCCTTGTACGACAGCTGAACAATGTATCCAATAGCTCGATGAAAATCTTGAGGAGACATCATTTGTTATCTCCTCGGATACACTTGAACAACATCTAGTGCCAAATAATCATAATCTGCCAAAAATGAAGGCCATCTACATATTTTGTGGCAACAAACAGCGGGATCAAGTGTGGGCCGAAAATTGGACAAAAGTCAAATGTGTTCGTATATCCATCAATCTCATTTGCGAAGCATTAAAACTAGCTGTCAAGTAATGCAATCAAGACAACATATCGGTAAGCATTATTAGTGTCAATGAAAGAGGTTCTAGCGAAAGTTTCAACCACATAGAACCAATCTTCATATATTCACAGATATTCAAGAAAATATTTCTTGATATAAAACATGACCAAAAAGCTGTTCAAGAGTTGGTTACGTTTTGCCAAAAACAATACCAGGACAATACCAGAGAAATGAAAATTATTAAAGAATTTCAACGTACCTATCAACCATCAAAAGTCATTTGGTGGTACTTACGTGAGTGTTTCACATTCAATATGCTCAATCGAGTATTACACACATTGGACGGTGACATTATCATTCGAATGGGCTTCTTCATTTGTAATGTACACCGACAACTCGAATGTTTGCACAAAGAACAGGTCAGTCAATATCATGAAGAAGCCTTTTTGGTATATAGGTGACATGGATTATTGACAGAAAACTTCGAAAAACTCAAAAAAAAACGAAGGTGGTCTTATTTCTTTCAATTTTTTTCTATCCGCCAGTAAAAATCGAGACATCGTGCTCGGTTTCGCCAAAAGAGTCTTAGGAAAAACAGATAAGGTCAGTGTTCTTTATCAAATAAAAATAGACCCCGAGATCTCCTCGACTCCGTTCAGGAGATGAGTTATTATAAAAGAGAAGAAGAAACCCTCTTCTTCGTGGATACGTTGTTTCGAATTCACGAAGTATGCAAAATTGATAAAGACAGTCCATTTTATGAAGTCGATCTTAAACTGACATCCGATCGTGATCAACAACTCCGTCAATTAACCGACTTTATACGAGAAGAGGTCCACGGCACCGGATGAACTCGAATTGATGTATTGCTGCTCCGAATTGGTCAATTCAACAAGGTCGAAGAATTGTACACTATGCTACTAAAACACACGTCAAACGACAGCGATAAAACACATATCCATCAACACCGTGGACGAGTGAAAGCTAAACAAGGACAATACAAAGGGGCCGTTTCATGTTATGAGACACCTCTCAAAATCAACCGAAAAACTTTCTCACACGATGATCCTTCATTAGCTACTTGCTACAACAGAATCGGTCAAGTCTATAGCAAAATGGGTGACTACTCTAAATTACTTGAATTTTACAAAAAAGCACAGAAAATCTACGAGCAAGCTCTGCCTCCGAATCATCCCTCATTGGCTGGAAGTCACTTGAGTTTTGCAGCGTGTTACGAACGAATGGATGATTACACAGCAGCTATTAAGGCTGTGAAAAGTGCTATTCAAATTCAGCAAAAAGCTTTGGAAGAAGCTAATCCAGCTATTGCTTTTACATTCAACTGGTTTGGAAAAGTTTATCGCAGTATGAAAGATTACTCAACGACACTCGAGTGTTTTGAAGAATGTCTCGCAATACGCCGAAAAATATTACCTGAAACACATCATTACCAGGCTATTACATACAATAATATTGGTGATGTTCATTGATTAATAGGTGATTATCGAAAGGCACTTTCATTTCATCGGAAAGCATTAAATGTTCAAGAAAATGTGCAATGTAACCCTCTGGAATGTGCAACGACATATACAAATTTAGGTGAAACAAATCGAGAGAATACGTCAACATAAACTGCCAACAAGTCATCCTGGCTTCGCTGTTATCTATCATAGTTTGCCAAAATGATATTTGGCGACTCGAGAATATAATATGGCAAGGAAAAATGTTCAACAAGCAGTGGAAATTGCTCAATAGAAACTGCCTTCAAATCATCCTCATCTTTTGGACTATAGAGAAACATTTGAAAAAATTCGCAAGAAATTTTAAATTGGTTTTTTGGTTTGCTCAATAAATTGATTCACGTTGCTCTTCACTTTCCTTTTCCGCTTTGCTCGGCTCATGATCGCGGATGTGCGCGCTACCAGGGAGACCAACTCTAAGCCTGAAATGGATGCAGACAGAGCGGACAACGCCGAACTTGCAGGGCAATGAGGGTAACTATGACTTACATAACAACGACAGGCGCCAAGAAACATAGAGACCTTCCCAAATACTACATTGTTGTTGTCATAATAGGCACAAGGAATCTCCTTGGATCAGGTTACAAAGCCATCTGACAGGCTATGATATAACATTGTACCTCACCCTACTACTACACCACAACATAGTTATCGTGAAAGAAAGATAATCTAACGTTTAAAAATAAAAACTTTTTCTACTTTCATGTATTATAATTAATGCATGCATTTAATGTATTTAAAGAAAATAAAAGTTATTTCACCTGGAATAGATTATATGTTTACTTAATCGATAAAAATTATTCCAAGAAGTCCTATTGATCACTCGAACTTCCAAATTTATATTCCTTTGCTGAATTTGAAAAAATATTAACTTAGTTACACTGTCCTGTTACTTCATTTCTTCTGAATGGAAAAGAAAAATTTCAAGCAACATATACTTTCCTTGCACTGGTATTTGTGATGTAAACTACATAATATCCATTATAATTTAATAGATTCGAATATACACATATTTTAATATAATATAAATTATTTCATATAATTTTCATTGTAATTCATTGTGTAATTTTAATAGTGATAGGCGAAATGACCGAAACGATATCATCGAAGTTGATAATTCAACTTTGAATTCTTTTTTTTTCTTTTATCTGTAAAAAGTTTCGGGATGTGGATGTATATATACTTATTCCCTTTGCACCAGACCCACATCCACATATTCTGACATATTTCGATGTGTATGTGCACTTTTAGTTATAATCGGATCTATGGTTGTTAATACTGGTAACATTCCAACACTATTCTCGGCATATGCGTGAAAATGATGTGCAACATCTTCAGTGAACCTAATATTTTTATATGTAAATGTACAAATAGAATCAATGGATGGTCGTGAAACAAGTAGTAATAATGAAATTAAAATCAATTTAAATATTAATATAAAATACATCAACTGGGGAATTTTTATTTATTTTGGTATTTCGAGCAGAATTTCTTGTTTTCTTTTCTTTCCTAGCATACTAGTTTTTATTTATTTTCTATTCGATTATTATTATTACTTTTATCAATACCCTATTATGCAACTTGATAAACTTCGAAATATTGATAGTGATTATTCCCAAAAAATAGAACTTGATTAGTTCACGCTTTTTGTGTTAATTACATGACAACTATGACAAAATAATACATCATGAATCATTATTCTTGATATTCCTGATAACCTTTTGAATGATACAATAGATGAATAAAATCTAGTTTACTTTAAAAAAACTTCATGAATTGTTTATTTGTTTTGTGGATCTCGCATAAGTAGTTAGATCTTTACATAAATCATTCCTTCCAGAGAATGGAACACAACAATCAATCGATAAAATTGATATTTCTAACTTACCACCGAATTTTTATATTTGAATCATTTTTTTTTGACATTAAACATTGTATATTAGTCCTTTGTTCATCATCAACATGTGTCATAAATTGTTGTGGCGCACAATACTTAATCAAAATTAAAATAATTTATACAGCCATGATCAGATTCATGAAACCATGTTGAAAATAATTGCCCCATTGCATCAATTGTCTAATTCAGATGTATTTTTGTATGTCGTATAAAAATACGTGATATTAAGCGATCAATATTTGCTTTTTTTCATTCCGCTCATGAGAAAATTTGAAGATTAATAAGAAATATATGATTGAGAAAAAAGTCTTCTTTTTCCGGATCTGGAGTTGATTCAAATCGCCATTGTTGCCGATTGATAAATAATGATAAGTTAGGACTTGTTAATGTTTGTGACGGATAACATTTTAATGAAATTAGAACTATATATTGTCGATAGATCATTCGTCCATTCGAAGAAACGCTTTTGCACATGTGTAGTTCAGATATGAAAAATTTTCTAGTTGTTAATGGACGTGAACAACAAGGCAAACAGTATTGTATTGATACTCTTTTTTTCGAACATGAACAAATAATTATTATTACTTGATGATAAATGAATGTTAGTGGAATCAATTTTGATTGAGTATCATCATGATTAGAAGATAATTCTTCAGATTTATTGTTATGATGATGAGACTGAATGAGATTCTTGTTGACTAAGATCATATAGTTTTTGTATTAGTGTTAGATAGAAAAGTGAAGATCAGCATCAATGAAAATTAACAAAACAAACTATATCACTTGCATTATATGCCTGTGTTACACTAAGAATATCAGAACTAAAAAGCCTATCGTAGTCCTATATAGATACAGAATGAAATTTAGAACAATGCGCTATGCTAAGGTTGATTTTCTAGATTCTTGTTTAGTGAGATACATATCCTCTCTGTTGCTGGAGTTGTAATAAGCTACTTTTTACTTTTAATATTTATAGTGTAACAAAGGTAAAGAGCTTAACATGCATAATCCGTTTTGATTTCAAATAATTATAAGAATTTGGTACAGAAAAAGAGTCCCTACAAATCCACATTGTTAAAACAATTTGTACGTTGTTTGATACGTAAACAAGCGAGTATAAGGTCATCTATTTGGATATTATCTGACTCACCGTTCTTGAGAGCAGCACAACAAAAAAATGATAACTTTCGATGCGTTTGTCTAATAAGTAAAACAAGAGAATACTCAAAAGACTACATAAATGAAGTGCGAAGCGATCTCCAATTTTCGGCAATGAAGTTTCAATTAACATAAGAATGATTAAACGATTCCACCTAGAGTTGACCATATGCTGTCGACAGTTTTTATTACTTGTGGTAAGCAATGGAGGCCAAATCGTCAAAACTACCTCTTTGCAGAACTTACTGAAAATCCAGGAAAACTCATGTTGAAGATTCAAAACTTCTGTATCCTCTCGAGACACGGATCTCTCTGACATAGTTCGAACGAATTTCTAGCGACTAGCTGCTCTCTAAAGCATCGCAACACAAAGTACAGATTTTGTTGCAGCAAAAAAAAAAATACACAAAGTATGGATGCCGAATGCGTACGCGACCGACTACAGAAACGTTGTGCCTTGCATCACATTAAATTTGTTTTGCTCATTTATTTATAGAGCCAGAATCTTACAAATATGTGCTGTAGTCTAGTCGATGGCGTTCGCATGGCTAGGCTCGATTTTTTGTACATCCATTACAAGATATATTGGCCAAAGTACCGTCGACATTTGAAATTTTGGAAAAGTTGTTTGAATATGCCCCTATTGATTCACAATACAATCAGACATTGTTTAGGTCTTAGTAGTCAAAAGACTTTAATGTATCAATAAAGAAAAAGAAATTAATAATAAAGAATATAGGTATAATACTCCGTTGGTGGTTGAATAGTCGCTTATATATATATATATTTCTAACAGCTGTGAATATCAAAGAATTGCTTTTATCATCAGATTGACTTTTTAATGAATATTAGAAAAACATTAGAGTTATTTCATACAAATAAATCAAGTATATAAAAAAAATATTATTATTATATGTTTGCTTTTTCTTTATTTCCTCGGGAGTAATTTCACTCAATTTCTGACATATTCACCATTGCAATTGATCACTACAGCATTGAAATCTTAACAAAAATGAATATCCAATTCAATATTTATTTTTATGCACAACATCATAAACGTTATTTGTTTATTGCTACAAATGAAAAAACGTTTGTCATATATCAATTGAATATTTCATCATTCATCCACTACGCTGTGATGGATTTTTAAGTAATTCCAAAAGTAATTTTTTATAGTCTCCACTTGTTTCTGAACTAACATCACGTTCTAATTCTCGATTATACAAACGATTAAATGCTTCTTTTATTTGAACAAGATCAACTTCTGAACGTGTTATTATTACTCGATTTAATGTTGATTCTTTTGTACCAGCTCCCTATAAAATAAAATAAAATCGAAAAAAGCTATTTAACCAATTCATAATACCTTCATAGCTTTACGTAATTGTTCAGCAAAAAAATATGGACGACTTCGTATACATCGAATAATAGCAACAAGACCTTTTTGAAGATCACCACTTGTTTCACTCTTTACTGATTCCTCTGATTAACAACAAAGAATAATTAAATAAATAATCAATATAAATTTCTTACCAATTGATTTGTTAGTTAATTTAGCATATTCATTAAAAACTGCTCGTAATTGTGGATCACTACGATCACAAAATAAAGCATTGAATCTTGATTCATCTGTTCCAAATTTTGCTGCACCAGCATCAAGTAATGATTGTGCATCTTGTTTAGCTTGTTCAACATTAACTTCCGTTGTTTCGGGTCGTCGTCCTTGCATAAGTGAAACAAGTAAACGACGAAAGTGTCCACTTGTATCTGATTTAACATCCTTTTCCAATGGCTTTGAATACACTAAAAGGAAAAAAAAAGGGAACCAATAAAAGACATACAAATGATGGATGTGCTGGAAGTTGTGACACAAAATGTTCCTTCATTTGTCGACTGATTAAGATGGTCAGCAGAC